ACTCGTGAAGAGTGTGCTTCTTAGCTCAAGTAGATACATGAGACTAAATGGGCATCTTCTGTCCAGAGGCAGAGAGGGTTAGGAGCTGGTTGAATGGACACAGGAAATCAGGGGTGGAAAGGAGGAGTGTGATGTTACAGTATAGGGAGAGCAATTAGTATCACATAACAATGTATGTATAAATTTTTGTATGAGAGACTAACTTGAATTGTAAACTTTCACTTAAACTACAACAGTAAAAAAAAATGTGTACAGGTGTTCAAGTTGATAAGGGGTGGACTGTGATCATTAAGATTGTGTGTCATCTTGGCTGAGCCAATATTCTCATTGGTTTGGCAGTTGTGATATAATTTGACAGTCGTAATGATGTGATCATCTCCATGATGAGATCCCATGATGGGATCTGCTGTGAGTAGCCAATCAGTTGAAGGGGAGTTTCCTTGGGGTTGTGGCCTTCATTCAATATAGCTGGACTTTCTGTCAAGGCTCGTGGGCTTTTACTTGCTCTGGATCCTGCAGCTGGTACTTCTTTGTCTGATCTCCAGTTCTTGGGACTTAAGTTTGCAACTTACCTGCTGTCTTGCTTGCCAATCTCAGGATTCATCAGTCTTTGCAGGCTGTGAGCCAGAGCCCAGCTGTCCAATTGCTGTTCTTGGGTTAACTAGCCCCTGCAGCTATATGAATTAGGGGAAGCCTCCAGCCTGACCCACAGACCTGGGAAGTTCCAATCTCTACAACAAGTGAGCCATTTCCTTGATATAAATCTCTTCATATATATATATATATATACTGGTTTTGCTTCTCTAGAGAACCCAACCTAAGATAACACTGAAAATATGACCATGGAAAGCTGTCTCCTCAAAGTAGAGTTGACTTTAATGTTGTGGGTGGGGTAAAGCTTTCAGGACCTTCGTTTGCTGATGTGGCATAACTCAAAATGAAAACAAATATCTGCAAACATTCGTTAATGATTGGAATATGGAATATATGAAATAAGAATCTAGGAAAATTTGAAGTTGTCAAAAATAAAATGTAATGCATAAAGATGGATATCTGAGGCATTATTAAGCTGAAATGGACTGGTATTGGCCATTTGGAATTGGACAATCATGTACTCTACTATGCCAGGAATGAAAAGTAGAAGAGGAATGATGTATTTATCACCAAAAAGAACATTTCAAGACCTATCCTGAAGTACAGTGCTGTCAGTGATAGGATAATATCCATATGTCAACACAGAACACCAGTTAATACAACTATTATTTACATTTATGAACTAACCACTAGTGTCAAAGAAGAAGAAATTGAAGATTTTTACCAATCTAAGCAGTAGAAATTGATCAAACATGCAGTCAAGATGCACAGATGATTATTGCTGACTGGAATGTGAAAGGTGGAAACAAAGAAGAAGGATTAGTAGTTGGAATATATGGCCTTTGTAACAGAAACGAAATTGGAAATCGCATGATAGAATTTTGCAAGACCAACGATTTATTCATTGCAAATACATTTTTCAACAACATAAACGGTGCATTACATGTAGACCTCACAGGATGGAATACTCAGGAATCAAATCGACTACATCTGTGAAAAGAGATGCTGGAGAAGCTCAATATCATCAGTCAGAACAAGGCCAGGGGCTGATAGAAGAAAGGATCACCCACTACTCATATACAAGTTCAGGTTAAAGCTGAAGAAAACTTACAAAGCCCACAAGAGCCAAAGTACGACCTTGAGTATATACCACCTGATTTTAGATACAATCTCAAGAACAGATTTGACATGTTGAACCCCAGTGACCAAACACCAGATGAGCTGTGGGATGAAATCAAGAACATCATACATGAAGAAAACAAAAGGCCAGTAAAAAGACAGGAAAGAGAATACAAAAATGAATGTCAGGAGACTCTGAAACTTGCTCTTGAATGTAGAGTAGCTAAAGCAAATGGAAGAAATGATGAAATAAAAGAGCTGAACAGAAGATTTCAAAGGGTGGCTCAAGAAGACAAAGGAAAGTATTATAATGAAATGTTCAAAGACCTGAAGTTAGAAAACCAAAAAGGAAGAACATTCTCATCATTACTCAAGCTGAAAGAACTGAAGAAAAAATTCAATCTTGAAGGGTTTTATAGGCAAAGTATTGTAGGATGTAGGAAGCATCAAAAGAAGATGGAAAGAACACACGTAGTCACCGTATCAAAAAGAATTGCTTGACTTTCAACCATTTTAGGAGGTAATATATGCTCAAGAACTGATGGTCTTGAAGGAAGAAGTACAAGCTGCACTGAAGGCATTGATGAAAAACAAGGTTCCAGGAACTGACAGAATAGCAACTGAGATGTTTCAACAAATGAATGCAGCACTGGAGGTGCTCACTCATCTATGCCAAGAAATTTGGAAGACAGCTCCCTGGCCAATGGATTGGAAGAGATCCATATTTTTACCCATTACAAAGAAAGGAGGTCCAATATCATTAATATCACATACAAGTAAAATTTTGCTGAAGATAATTCAAAAATGGTTGCAGCAGTAAATGGACAGAGAGCTGCCAGAAATTCAGGTTGGATTCAGAAGAGGACATGGAATGAGGGATACTACTGCTGATGTCAGATGGCCTTTGGCTGAAAACAGAGACTACCAGAAAGATGTTTACCTGTGTTTTATTGACTATGCAAATGCATTTGATTGTGTGGATCATAGCAAATTATGGTAACATTTCAAAGAATGTGAATTCCAGAACACTAATTGTCCTCATGAGGAACCTGTATAAAGACAAAGAGGCAGTTATTCAAACAGAACAAGGGGATACTGCGTGGTTTAAGATCAGGAAAGATGTTCATCAGGGATGAACCATACTTATTCAATCTGTATGCTGAGCAAATAATCTGAGAAGCTTAGCTATATGAAGAAGAATGTGGTATCAATACTGGAGTACGACTCATTAACAAGCTGTGATATGCAGATGACACAACCTTGCCTGCTGAAAGCAAAGAGGACTTAAACACTTATTGATGAAGATCAAAGACTACTGCCTTCAGTACGGATTGCATCTCAACTTAAAGAAAACAAAAATCTTCATAACTGGACCAATAAGCAACATCATGATAAATGGAGAAAAGATTCAAGTTGCCAAGGATTTCATTTTTCTTGGTTCCACAATCAATGCCCATGGAAACAGCAGTCAAGAAATCAAACGACATATTGCATTAGGCGAATCTGCCGCAAAAGACCTCTTTTAAGTGCTAAAAAGCAAAGATGTTACTTTGAGGACTAAGGTGGGCCTGACCTAAGCCATAATATTTTAAATTGCCTCATATGCATGCAAAGCCTTGACAATGAATAATGAAGACTGAGGAAGGTTTCATGTCTTCGAATTATGGTGTTGGCAAAGAATATTGAATGTACAGGGACTGCCAGAAGAACAAATGAATCTGTCTTGGAAGAAGTACAGCCAGAATCCTCCTTAGAAGCAAAGATGGTGAGACTTCATCTCACTTACTTTGATCATATTATCAGGAGGGACCAGTTCCTGGAGAAAAACATCATGCTTGGTAAAGTAGATGGCCAGCGAAAAAAAGGAAGACCTTCAATGAGATGGATTGACACTGTGGCTGCAACAATAGGTTCAGGACCAGGCAGTGCTTCGTTCTGTTTTACACAAGGTCGCTGTGAGTAAGAACCAACTTGAGGACACCTAACAAGAACAACAACAACTTAAATATATACTTTTTCACATTATAATCCATGGGTTGAAATTATTGCTCTTGGTTATCAACATTGTTGAGAAAACTGCAAATGATCAAGAAAGAAATCACGCTATGATACAATATATCTTTTTGGTTGCAACCAACTATAGATTTGGTCTTTTTCATTAGGAAAACAAACTTATTTTGATCTGACTGGTATTCTACAATAATTAAGGCATGGGATAATAGTACAGGGATAGATACAACAGACCTAACACATGGATTCACCATGAGTTAGAATCCTCTTGATGACAGTGTTTTTTTTTTTTTTCTTTTTTAATTGACCAGAAAAGACAGCCCAGAAAAAGACCAAAACATAAATGGGCAGTTTATTTAAAGTAGAACTGGTACTACAGTGAATGAAGAGACTTGTTAATAAAAGGCACTGCAACGTAAAACAAATATGAATTCTTGCTTACATCAATGGCAAAAACTCCAGGTAGATACTTGACAAAAATTTAAAACGCAAACTATAAATCCTTTAGATTGAAGTAGGTAGGGGTTGCACAAACAAGACCTATTGAGGAAAAGCTATTTAAAAAATATTGACAAATTCAACTATATTACACCTTAGCACTTGTGTTTATCCAAAAATTACTGTAAAGTATACTTAAAACAAGCCACACACCTGAAGAAGAAATTTTCAGTGCAGATAAATAACAAAGTATAAATATTCCAATTAAATAAAAAGCCCTTATTAATTAATAAGAAAAATATAAATAGTTCAATAGAAATACCATAAGCAGATTTCATAAAAGAGGAAAATAAATGACCAATCATATATAAAAAGACTTAACATCATAATAAGGGAAATGTAAATTAATTGAATAATATTTTATGCCCCCTTAGTTTTTAATACCCACCCACTGCCATCAAGTCAATTCCGACTTATAGCGACCCCATAGGATTTCCAAGGCTGTAAATCTCTATGGAAGCAGATTGCCACATCTTTTTCCGGAGGAGCAGCTGTTGGTTTTGAACCGCTAACCTTTCAGTTAGGTTTTAGTAGTAAGTTAAATGTGTTGGTGATGATGTTGAACAGCAGAAACTTCTAAAGGGAGTGTAGATTGGTTCTATCACTTAAGAAAACTTCTTTGTAACTACCAAAAGGAGAATAGCACTCCACTATACACAATAACTCCACCTAAGCATGAAACTCCTGTTTTCAAAGAACTTGGTGAGGCTTTATGAATCACTCATTATTTATTTCTCTCTAGTATGTTCCAGCAGCTTAAGACTAAAGCACCTGGCACATCAATGTAAAGAGAATATTCTATAGATGAGATTCCTCAAAGCTCCCATCATGTCCTTGTTCCTCAGGCTGTAGATAAAGGGGTTTGCCATAGGGGTGACCACAGTGTACATTACTGAGGCTATTGCACTCTTCCTAGAGAAGTGACTAGCTTCAGAACTAAGGTACACCCCAAAACCTGTCCCATAGAATAATGAAACAACTATTAAGTGTGACCCACATATGGAGAAAGCCTTATACGTTCCACCAGCTGATGGAATTTTCAGGACAGAGGAGACAATTCGAGTATAAGAGAAAATTATCCCAGAGAGAGGAACAACACCCAAAAGACTGGTCACTACATAGACCAAGATGTTATTGATGAGGATATCAGAACAGGCAAGCTTGAGAACATGAGCTAATTCACAAAAGAAGTGTGGAATTTCCAGATTCTAGCAGAAGGACAGCCGCAGTGCCATCAAAGTGTGGAGCAGGGCATCCAGAACACTAATGAGGAAGGACAGCAAAACCAGTAGCCCACAGAGCTTGGGATCAATGATGGCTGTGTACCTCAGTGGGTGGCAGATGGCCACAAATCGATCATACGCCATCATTACCAGAATTCCATTTTCCAGTCCAGCAAAAGTCAGGACAAAGCAGATCTGGGTAAGGCAGCCTGTGTAACTGATGGATTTTCTCTGTGTCTGGGGTTCGCCAGCATCTTGGGGACTCTGGTGGTACTGAAACAGATGTCTACAAAGGACAGGTTGGAGAGGAAGAAGTACATGGGCATGTGGAGGTGAGAGTCAAAGATGATGGCCGGGATGATGAGCAGATTCCCAGCTATAGTGATCAAGTATATGGATAGGAACAGCCCAAAGAGGAGGGGCTGCAGTTCTGGATCCTCAGAGAGTCCTAAGAGGAGAAATTCTGCAGTATCTGATAGGTTTCCTGGTGTCATGTGGTTGACAGGTCTGATAGAAAAGATGAAGGTGACAAGAAAACCAAGTGTTAATCTCCTTAATCTTGTCTATATTTTGAAACCAAATTAGTTATATTTTTTCTTCTTCTCTTTCTACCCTCTCCTCTACTTACCTTTTATTCCCCTCACAACTGCTCCTCATTCCCAAGTTTTTATTGACCACATATTCTTTGTCAAGGAGTTCCTTAGTGGTGCAAATGGTTAAGCACTCAACTATTAATCAAAAGGTTGGCAGTTCAAACCCACCCAGAGGCTCCTCAGCAAGAAAGGGCTGATAGTCTAATTCTGAAAAACAAATCAGCCATTTAAAACCCTATGGAACATAGTTACACTTTGCTACACACAGGGTTGCCATGAGTCAAAATTGACTCAATGGCAACTGGTTTGGTTTTGGTTTGATATTCTTTGTCAAGTAGGGCTACTTGCTGAGAATAAAATAGGAACAAGACATTTTCCTCTCCTTTAGAATTATACGAGGCCTTCCAGCAAATAATCAATCCAGAATAAAATTAATAAGGCTCTATTCTAGAACATAGGTTGGCAAGATTGAGCTTGTGGTTCAAATTCTGCCTGTTTTTGTAAATAGTTTTATTGAAACACAGCCATTTGTTTACCCACATTCCATGGCATTTTTTGTGCTACAGCAGTAGAGTTTAGTAGTTGTGACAGAGGTGTAAAATATTTATTATCTGGATCTTTACAGAAAAAGTTTACTTGATTAGATTCAGACACAATTTTTGGCAAACACTCTTATGTACTTTGATTAGGAAGCACATACTGACTGCTTGTCCTATTTTTTAAATGATAATCATTACCTGGATCCATTCATTTACGGGGGTTACAAAATGCTGGTATTCTAATTTATTTTTTTCATTTATTGGCTGAAATACTCCCATAAAGAAGAATTTTCCCTAACCAAATATATGGTTACCTTGAGGTAGAATTATTATAGGAAAAGCAGACTATATCTTGATTCCTGTATCCATCACTTTAAAATAATAAATTAGCTCCCAGCATTATACCAAGATTAAACACTGTATCACTATGAACTCTTGGATTTTAAACACCTTTGATATATTTCAAATCATTTCAGTTATTATTCATATTAATTCTCAAATTTCCCTATCTTTGGCCAGTCGGTACCTCTTCAACTTGCCTCCTGAGTCATTCTGAAATGAACCTCATGTTTTCTGAACTGTGGTATGAAAGATGTTCTAGGCTCATCTTATACATTTCCTGTCCCAGATCTTGAACCAGTCATTTCTCCAGGTAGCCATGGTTCTTTTTAGTGGTAAATGATACTTAGAGACCATAGTCGGGCCACTATAGGGTTTTCAATGCTATTGAGTTGGTCATTGTTTTTAGCTCTTTCTAGTGGGCAGAGCCATAAAATAGTTGTTTTTTATTTTAAATATTAACACATTTAACCCTTTTATAAAGCCTAACAATTAGGTTTCACATTCTTCTATTTATACTCGAGGAAACTGGGCACAGGTATATTTAGTACCTACACAAAGATCCAACTAGTCAGTGGCATAGCTGAGATTTGACTCCAGGAAGTCTTACTCCAGAACAGGTATGCTTAAACATTATGTGGTAATGCCTCTAAAAAGTCCAAAATTCATCTTCTTATGAAATTATTCAGGTTCCCTTTGAACAACTCTAATGACTTGCTAGTGAATAAAATCCCAAGTGCATTCCCTGGTCTTCAGTCTTCCATGTTCTGGCACACATAGCTAGTGTGTTTCAGTTGACAACACCAAAAAGGGGAAATCTTCAGGACCTGATCAAGATTAGAGAATGTTGTCTGATAAAACAGAAGTTTGTATGAAACTGTTATGGGCCAGACAAGCTACTTGCATGTGTGACTGATTTTAAGAGATGCTTGGTAACTAGGGGCTCTGCTCCACAGAGTCACCTAGGAACACAAGCTGATAGGGACTCTGCTGCCTTGAAGTTGCATATATGGAACATGTGACCTTTTTAGTCCTGAGTGTAGTGGTTATAAAATGTGTCCACAAGTTCTTTGATATTTCTTCTTAAGGAAAGATAGGAAGATGCTAGGCAAATATGTTGCTGTAACTTTCTCATTATTTGAAGGCTAACATGTCCTTCTCTGAAGCTAGGATGAGGCCATTTTTTCCATAATAGAAAGGTGAAGGAAAATGATCTACATAGGTGTTATAGATTGGATTGGGTCCCCAGAAAAGATATGTTTAAGTCCTAACCTCCAATGTGACACTCACTTTGCTTGGAAATGTAGTCTTTGAAGATGTTATCAGTCATCAATTAACATGAAGTCATAATGGAATAGGATGGATCACACTCCAATATGAGTGGTGTACTTATAAAAGATAAGAGACATGGAGAGATACAGAGGAAAGACAGCCATGTGAAGATGAAGGAAGAGATTGAAGTGATGCATTTGTAAGGCAAGGAATGCCAAGAATCATAAGCAACCACCAGAAGGTAGGAGAGAGACATGGAATAGATTCTCCTTCAGTGCCCTCAGAAGGAACAAACACAGCTGACAGCCTGATTTCAGGCTTGTAGCCTCCAGAATTGTGAGAAAACAATTTATGTTTTAATAATCCACTCAATTTATGGTACTTTGTTATGGCAGCCCCAAGAAACCAATCCAATAGAGTCTTAAGTACATAAAACAAAGTAGCAATAAATTTTAAGTTTAATCTTCAGGGTGCTAGACAGAAAGTATGTCTTAACCCTGATATTCAGACCACTTAACAGGTAAGTCCCCAAAGTGGCTGGTGGAGGGATAGAAGGAAGTTGAAGTAAATACACCTGGGTAATTATGCTTACAGAGTAATATTGGGGCTTACAATAATAATTGTAAACTATTTACCATAGAACATGCTCATAATAAAACCTAAGCACTTGTTACCTTGTGTTAACTATGTTTGAGAGAGAAGATGAGACACTCGGTTTTTTTAGTTACTTACATCTTCCTCACTGTTACAACTTCTATAATAAAAACACATGATCTTTTTTGTTTAACCATATTTGACCACATGAATGAAGGTTAAAAAAAAAAGGAAAAATTTTAAAAAATATTCAAATGTTAATAGGAGTCACTACAATTAATTTCCATAAATAGTCTAGCTACATCCATTTGCCCTTTTCTTTACTTCTTTCATATGTATCCCATCAATGTCTCTCTCCGCAACATTTTTCCTTTTTTATCACAGCTTGTGAAAATAATTAATCCTTCTATACCCACTAGAGTCCCTGGGTGGTGCAGTTAACACGCTTGACTGCTAACCAAAAGATTGGAGGTTTGAGTCCACCTAGAGATGCCTAAAACAAAAGCCTGGAAATCTGCTTCTGAAAAATCAGTCATAGAAAACCCTGTGGAGTGCATTTCTACTCTGCCACGCATGGGGTCACCATGAGTCACAGTCAACTCAATGGCAACTGATATCTGTTATGGTATATACCCACTAGTATAGGTTCCTGCCCTTAATTTTATTTATCTTAGCCTATCAGTTTCATTTGTATAATTAATAGATAATATTAGAAAAGAAAATGTTGGAGTAAATCATAGAATATCAGACAAAGCCTCTTATTGTTGCTAGTTCTGCTGTCTCAGTCCCTGGTTCAAGCAAGCATTGAACCTTGGTACCGATTCCTAGAGGAGTCCCCAGTGGACCATCTCAGAACTAGCTCCAGGCCTCTCCTATCCCCTCTAGCTTATCCAGTTCCTTGATAAATTGATCCTGGTGTCCCCAAAAGAGAAAATAGAGAATTGGTGTGTGCTGGCAATGTCAAAGCATCTGTTCACTGTTCTTATAAATTAATTATTAGGAATTTCTTTGAAAGTGTCTCGATTTGTGACAAACATATCTTGAATCACAACATGTGTACAGTTAAAGATACAATGATTTGACATAATCCAGCCCTTTGCTCCCGAATAGGGAGTTGAATTCTTCTGCAGAAAGACAAGTGATCATAAAATATGTCAACCATTTAAGGATAAGGTCGAGACTCAGACATTCTCTGGTTCAATTATGGATTCTTTGATTGCTAGCTCTGTGACATAGAAAGTCCCTGATCCTCGATGAGCAGTCTCAAAGTTTTTCAGTTGTATAATGGAAACAGCTATAAAAATAGGAGTCCCTGGGTAGTACAAATGGTTAACATGCTCAGCTGCTGACTGAAATGTTGAAGTTCAAGCCTACCGAGAAGTACCTCACAAGAAATGCCTGGTGATGTACCTCTGAAAAATCAGCCATTGAAAACCCTGTGGAGCACAGTTCTACTCTGATACACTTGAGGTTGCCGTGAGTCGGAGTCAGTTCAATAGCAACTGCTACTATAAAAATATACAAGGATGTTGCAGGGATAAGAAATAAAGGAAAAGCACCAAACGTAGTGCCCAGCCCTGCCCTGCCCTGCCATGAATTTTATGACCTATTGTTGTTTTTAGCTGTGGAAAAGTTCTGGTGCCCAGGAGAGAAGTGCAAGATGGAACAGAATGAAAAAGGATGAAGGAGGAAAGGAGGGAAGTTACCCCTAGAATAATGTCCTAGGACTGGGCAAAGGAGAGATGTGCTCCAACTCCCACTGGGAGCCTTCCTAGTGTAATGAAGCATAGGGAGGAAAGATCCTAAACACTCATCAGTGTGGGGATAGATACACAAAATATATCATAATCAGGTGATGGAATAGTATGAAAATATTATTTTAATATTACTTCATCATATTTTAACTAACTATAGAAAGTTTCCAAAATCAAAATATTTAAATTATTTCTGGATGTATAAAATTAAGCAGGGAAAAATATTAAGAGAGAAAAGTAATTTGGCAAATGACAGCTATAGCATGGTGAAATATATGGAAATATAAATACACCCCCAAATAATTAACTATCATTTATTTTTATATGTCAAGTATCCTGAAAATTATAAAGGATGGCAATGAAGGACTTGAACCCACCAGCCAGTGTGAACAAATTCAAGCATT